TCTGCATAATTACTTTATCCCAATCAAACTAAATCAACCCAAAAAACATTTTTCTTTCAGCTAAAAGACAGACAAACAAAATGCAGAGTAACAGCTAACAGCTGTGTAGGTAAGAGTGCAAAGGCAAAACAGGGAATTGCAACCTTGAGCCTTACAATAGGAGACCTATGTGTGACACAGATCTGAGATGTTCAGGCATGAAGCAAATGGCCCATTTGTTATGGTAAAGTTCCCAAACAGTTTACTTGGTGGTATTCATCAACCCAGTAGTCTCTCCGGGACAACCGTATCACAGCTATTTTCAAGGCAGAAATTAAGATAGCTGGGCACTACTCCAGCTTCTGCCTCTCTGTATTGCATCTCATCAGAGGAAGAGCAGGTGAGAAATCCTGGTCTCACAAGCCACCAATATCCATCTGCTTCTCTTCAGTCAGCACTGGGAGTATTTAACTGCAGTACTGAAACCGTGCTCCTTCATTTCCCTTTACAAAAGTGAAACAAAGGCAAGGGAAGCCATGGACATCAGAGTAGTTTCTGGGAGACACGTGTCATTCCTCAGTGTTGCAAATATGGAGGGGACCTACATGTACTGCGGAATGCATAAGATTCTCAGAAGAACGCATCTAAGTAGACAGCATGTTATTATCTGTCTTGGTGGAAGAAATCAGAGAGTGCATAAGTGTCACAAAGCAGCGGCAGGGGGAGGGAAGTTACCGGAGGTGGGAGGATGTACTGTATAGCAGCAAAAGTGTCACTGATGACCATGAGGCATCATCCACGTTATATTCTATGCTATATTCCAGCCATGTCCACAGCCAGGGAAAAGAAACTAGTTACCCACAGCTTTCCTCAACAAATCCTTCATGTCTTCTGTTTTACTCTGCTTTACATTATAAAGTAACTCCTGGCAAAAGAAGACGGAGCAGCAAAACACAAGTGATGATGTGTCTAATCTCTTCATCATGTCACAGAACCACCTCACTGCCCCACACTGGCCCTATATCGGAACACTGTAACACATGTGAGAGCGAAAAAATAGCTCTATTTTTCACTTCTGGCCTCACAGAAACCAGGCAGAATCACAACTCTCTCTTTTCCCTCTGGAGGAGAATCTGGAGCCACAAACTAGAGCAGCCAAAACAAGAGAGAGCCAGGGGACCTCCCAGGCAACTCCTTGGTATGCATTTACAGCCTCACACAGTGTCTCTGGCACAAGCCTCCTGGGAAGGAAGGCAGCAGCGCTATCCTCAGGTCTCTCTGAAGAATGACTTCCAACTGGAGTACAGCTGCCTCCCCAGCCAGGAGGGCATGCAATTTTGGACATGCAGTTTACAGCTCTCACTGGACTCTGGACTAACACCTTCACAACAGGCCAGCTCCCTTTCTGCAGCTGCTGGGAGCACATGGGGGAGGCATTCCACCTTGCAGTGCAAAAGAATAGCTTGTTTTATTTTGATATGCAAGTATCATCATCTTTGTGGGAGAAATGAAGGGGAAAAGGCAGGTTCTGAACCCTCCACATAGTACACAGTAAGCTGAGCATCCTTATTGATTCCATGCACCAAGTTTGCCAGTCACACGTTCCTCAGACTGAATTCTGCAAGGGTTTCCCAGGCATGCACAGAGCAATGCCTATGGCAAAGCGTCAAAAGTATTACTCTAAGGAAATCTTTGTTTTGGAAACTTGCTTCTCAGCTACAATTTGCTTCCTCTTTAACAAATTTTAAGCCAAGGAGTTTTCTTTAGTAATTGTTTTTGTTTTTAGTCTCTATTGTTTACTCAAATGGGGAAGATAACAGCTTCAGGCTAAAGTCCCCCATGGAAAAACGTGTTTGGTGATCTCGTCTTAATCCCCAGTGGGTAACCATCCAGATCACAAAGAGTAGCAGAAAAACCTGGCCTCACTAAGCAGTGCTGGAAAGGTTGTGTTTTGTTTTAGGGTTTTGGGTTCTTTCAGCAGAATTTGGATATCTGGGTGTTTGCTATAGGCCAGCACAGAGGTACGTTTGTAGACCCATGCAAGTCCTAGTCAACACTGCTTGGCCACACTCCTTGCTTTTGTAAGAACTGACATTGACCTTTTCTTTTCAAAGGTCAGTATCATTTGTATATATTAAAAAAATAACAACACTTTGTCCTTGTACAGCTACTCTCCTCACTACAGTTTCCAAGTATGGGCAGACACTGCATATCTTTTGCATTCAGTCCAAATTTACAGGGTTTCAACCATGCTTATTTCATGAGAAGAAATGGCATAGAAACACATGCAAGTGAGGAACAGTATTAAAAAGTTATAAGCTACTCCTGCCTTTATGTAAGGATCTTGCAAGCTCAGCAGACGGCTCACTTCTTTTCCTTCCTTAGCTCTTTGCTCCCATTTTTTTTAACTAATACAAACATTTTTGCGCTAGAAGAAACCCATCTGAGAATCAATGCTAATGCCCTAACCTGCTCCCAAGAAAAACATTGGTGCAATTATTCTTGCCTCTTCTCCATCCACCTTTTTTAAAACATGTCAGCCGAGCTACATTTCCACCACTTTAAGCATGGGGCAGAGGCATTGTTAATGTATGAGATGGAAAAACAAATTATTATTTTTCTGCCCTGTGGCCAATGTTACCGCCACGAGGGATTGCACTAGATCTCATACAGCATGAGATTCACATTTCTTGTCTTGGTCTTAACCGTTACATGCTGCTAGAGCTGTAATTTTATGGGTAAGATGGAAAACCCTAACTACTTATGGTTATGAATATAATAATTCCATGACACATCACATTTTTGAAGGCTTATTTCAGAGGATGGCTACAGAGCATCCACTTCATGGTGTTGGTGAGAGGCCAAAGTCAGACATCAAAGTCACCCGTGGTCTCCACCCAGGACAAAAGCACCCAGAACTCATCACCCGAGTTCTCAGACTGCTGGGCACACACCGGGGAGAGAAGACTGTGTCGTCAGCACACCACAATGCAGTACGTGCTTCCAGGCAGCCTCTCCTTATGGGTTTCACTAGATTAAGCAATAAATATTTACCTAGCCAAAAAACCCTTTGCCATTTCTTTGTCAACTATTAAAAGTATTACATCAGTTCTACTCAAACAGTCATTTATGCCAGAACTGACAGAGAAGAGGCTTTTTCATTTACCCCATCTAAGGCTCTAATGGTGTTTTTTGATAGACAATTATTCCAACAGAATTTATTCACAAAAGAGCTCTGGGGATTAAGCAAACCACAGTCTACCAGGATTATCAAGTAACTTCAGATTTTCTATAAAGCTGCTTCGTTTTGGGATGTGCTAAGGACCAAGCTTAGTTCCACAAAACTCTGCTCTGCATTACAAAACACAACAGTATTTACATAAACTCAGAACACTCCTCAACAGCCCAGGACTCTCACTGCCAGATATTTGACGAATTAATAGGGAAATGATGAGACTATAAATTGAATTTAAAAGGAACTTTGGCCAGATCAGTTGTTAGCATGTTTTCTAGTTTTATTGCCACAGATAGCCGAGAACTAAAATAATACACTAGATTACGGCATATAACATCTTCCTATCAGTGCACCCTGTAGATTGTCACCCAGATATTTAGGTTTTAGTGCTTTAGCATATCTGTTATATAATAACATTTACAATAGCATCACCATGAGAGAACAAGTAGACCTATAGGAGAGTGCACTTACTGAAGCCGTTACTCCACCAGATCACTGCAACCCAAACAATCCCCACTGTAGAATTCTCTCATTCCAAGCAGTTATTTCCCTTCCTAAAAGGTTCATACAGGTGTCTTGCCTGTCAGTGAAGCAAGTTCACAATTTTTATTAAATATTCACTCCTTCCACTTCTTCATCCTCCAAAGCTACAGCTGACCACAGAGCTATAAGGTAGGTTGGTGTGATCCAGCTGCTCACAGTTCATCCTTAAGACATTTTTATGAAGCAGGCAAGGAGACAAGCGCTAAGCAAATTTCCACTGAGGATACACTGATGACTTTTTCTTATCCAAATTAACAAAAGAAAATACTTTCACCCTTGTTTTCTTTCTCTCAGGTAGCTCCCAACTGCCATCCAATTAAGGGGATAAACCAGAAGTGGGTTAAAAAAAAATCTCTACAAGGAAAGATGCAAGAATACTGTGATCATTCAGGACAAACGATATTATGCAGATTATGAAAAACAATGATATTAAAATACAAAACTAACGGACAATGTGTTTGTGCTAGGGTTATTGGAAGCCTAACGGGACCTTGTTGTGCAAATTCCTGGGCAGCTGCATATGCATCTTCTCCTTTACTCTAGGATACCCAATGTGGGAATTAAGTTATTGTCTGCTCTGCTCATGACTCACCACTCAAAGGAGAGTCTTAAGGTCCATTCCTGAAAGGATGGATTCACTCTTGTAAATGTAGGAAATAGAGTACCAGCAACACATTATTTATCAGGATATTTATCAGGGTTTGGTTTTTAAGAGTTCTCAGCACAGCAAGGATTCCCTTAGCCCAACTCTTGCTTAGAGTAGAGCGTTACTTCCAGTGAGTGATTTTGTTGTTTATCTAGTCTGTGATATGATTTACGTTAACTCATTTCCTGTAAAAGCATACACCAGTAAAATGACAAAAATGTGAAGAATGAGCAGGCCGACTTCAAATCGGCATGTGACATTGTATGAGCAGCTAGATCAAAATCCTCTTAGAAGACTACTGTAGTGCACATTTAAGACTCTGAAGACTCTGAATTTTCCCTTTTTCGGAAATTCTCACAAAACAGCTGTTTCTGCAGTTCACAATAAAGCATTGGTGCTGTTCAATAAATCCCTGATGCAATTGATAACCAAGACCTTCATGCTTTCCTAGATAAAGGGACACCTGCTGTTCATGCTAAGGAAAGTAGGAGCAAGCTTCGTATCTATCTCACATAATCTTGATAAACATGTGCATAAAGAAAACATCTGAAAACTGGCCGGAAGCACCATGTAATATCAAATTGATGGTGCTTTTACCTTTTAATAGTTCCCTGGAACACCTCTGCATGGTCTGGCTTGGACCTGTAAACCACTGGAAATCCACCATGGCTCGTACTTCTAAGAAGCCGAGCCAACGAGGCAACGTTTTCCTTTAGGTGGAGGACTCTGACACGAGGCTCCATGACATCTCTGGCAGAGAACAATTCCAGGTTCAACCTGAAAGACACAGAGCAGACAGCCAAAGGACTATTTAGTAAACAGGAAATGAGGCGTACTGTACCACGTTAGCATTTGACGAGCTTATAATGTTTTGGTAAATTACTTCAAGATGGAAATCAATCTGTTTTATTTGCAAATGTAAAAAAAAAATGTAATTACCCAATAAAAGTGCTTATCAAGCATTGCCTCTCTTTGTATAAGATACATGATAAATTCAACCATATGCATGACATGGTCATCCTAGACAGGATATCATCATAAGAGTCATTTATCAATTTTCATGACTTTTCTCATTAAAAAAAAGATTCTTAGTTTAATCTGAAATCCTCTGAAATTCTGGCTGAGATCACATACTTTAAAGTTAAGTACTTCAGAGAAATTCAAGCTTCCACTCACCATTGCATTTTTTTTTTTTTTTGTGGTAGTAGCAACTGGAAAGCTGGCCCTTCCAAGATTTTTCACAAATCAAACACTATTTTTCTAATATTTCCTAACATTTTTCAGTTTCTAGGCAAGGTTTCAGGAAACAATGCCTGAACATACATTAATTGAAAAACGTGTGTATACCCACTATTTCTGAGAGTAGAGTGGAATGAAAAATAAAAAATACTTTCCGCAAAATTCAAAGTAATTTCTGTGGAGTTATATCAGGCCAGATTCTGACTACAGAGTTCAGTGAACTGCTCTAGTTGTAAACCTGTTTTATATTTTCTGTTTTCAAAAATACATTCATTATTCTGATTATCATCTGGACATAGCATAAGCCAGAATCCCGTTCAGACAAGGGCTGACATAAACCACAGACAGAGACAACTGGAGCATAAATTTGCCCACATCCTGTTTTACCAATGTACCTTTCATCCCCGTGGTAAAAGCAACTATTTCCGTTGGCTGTTAATTATTGTCCTCCCTCCTGAAAGACACAAGGTTATTTTTTCAAGCCAGTTACTGTGATGTCTTGTGATGTGACCACCTGCCTACAACTGAACTGAGAAGACAATGCACTTCATATACATGGCACCTACACAGCTGGGAAATAAGTTTTTGCTTCTTCTAAACTGAGATGGACTTACATGAACCCTGGAAAAGAATAGTCTTACATGCTCTGAATCATGTCATACCCATTCCCAATTATATGGAACAGACAGTAGATAATGAAAATCTGGAACACCATCTTATTACGGACCCACATTTCAAGGGAGCGGAACACCATCTTCTGGATAAATGAACCTCTCCGAACCACACTTTGTCACTGACTTAGAATGGGCAACAGTTTACCTTGCAAATCACAGGGGCAAGTAAAGAATATAGTACCAATTAGTGAGAATAAAGCCTAAATGTCCTGAAAAGATTTTCTTTTTTTTTCAATTCTTAGTATCACTGAAAGCTACCAGTTTTTGCAGCACAAATAATGGAACTAAGTGGAAAGCAAAGATTCTGCTCCAAAAGTTACTGTCAGAACTGTGCTACTGTGCCTCTTGTTTGGGGAAAACACTCTGCCAGGGAAATGAGGAGATTCCTGTTTCTCCTCCACTTCTCCATTTTCATATGCCAGATAAAAATCTGTATTTGCTTGCCTTAAGCTTTGCCTACATTCACTGTGCTGCTACTAAAAGTACTGTACCTAGCATGGCCAACACAATGAGAAAATATGATTAATGATAATAGGTACTTCCTGCATTACATGAAGTATGTGCAAATCCTGAACGATTTTCAAGATTAGTAAGAGTAACGTGGAAACAGTGTTACACGACAGCAGTTTCTACACCGTATTTTGTATCAGGACATAGGTTTCCCATCTCCATAACCTTCCAGTTTTGAACGTTCCAAATTATGCAAAAGTCCATGAAACATCCTTAGGTTTCCTCAAATCAGCCATTTCTATAAGAAGAACAGATAGTTTGTTGCATAGTTCTGTGTTCTTGGTTTTGCGGTGATAAAGTGTCCATGTTGTCTAGAGTAGCCATAGACCTTGCGTTATCATAGGTCAGCTTTTTCAGACATAAGAAAAACACACTAAGGACTGGTGCTGATTCACTGTTCATTGCCAGTGGCATTTCTTTCAATTACTCTGTCTATTGCTGTAAAGAATACCATTGCTTTAAGGGAGAAGGGAAAAAAGCATCCCCTTCAGGGATGCAATCCCATGCAATCCCACTTCCCAGTTTCCTGAATGAGCCAAGATCTATTCTCTTAAAGTCCAGGGTCTGTACTCCGCTACTCGCCTTCCCACTCCCCTCAGGATCTTGAACTCCACTATTTCGTGGTCACTGCTGTCAAGGATACTGTTGATGATCACTACCCCAACCAGTTTTTTCTTGTTAGTGAAGAGCAGACCCAACGGTACACCACTCCCTGTTAGCCCGTGCAGTACTTGTATTCAGAAATTATCATGGATAATTACCCTGCAGAAATCTCCTTGCATCCCTCCATGTTGCCTTTCCAGCAAATATCAGGGAAGCTAAAGTGCTGCTTGAGAACCAGGGTCTGTGATCCAAAGACTTCCTCAAGCTGTTTAAAGAGGGGTTTGTCCATTTCCTCACACCAGTAGGGCAGTCTGTAACAAACTCCAGCCACATCACCCTCACTGGCTTCTCTTCTAATTCGCAACCACATTCTGCCATCCCATGGAGAGCTCCATGAATCTTAGCTGCTCCTTCATACAGAAAGGGACATCTCCATCTTTCCTAAAGCACTTGTATCCATCCATCGCAGCACTCCAGTCATGCGAGCTGTCCCACTGCATCTCAGTTATTCCAACAACGCCGCAGCTCTGCCACTGCATCCAGAGCTCTAGTTCCCTCTGCTTCTTTCCTCAAATGCAAGCATTTGTGTACATACACTTAAGACAGGTGTCCTTTTACTCTGTTTTAATGTTCCTGAGGCCTCTCTTGTTCCTGTCATCACGCTGCACCCTTTACTCTTGACCTCTCTCCACCATTATACTTAATTGTGATTCATAATTGCCCTTCCCCATTCTTCCTGATTCAAAACTCTCCTCCCCATCGTGGCCAGCCTGTTAGCAAAAATGATTTTCCCCCTGCTCTGTCCCATGAGCATGGATCCCACCTTTCCTTAAGAATCCTTAACTGAAGTCCCATGGTTGTAAAAGCCAAATTCATGTTGACAACTCCAGCTGTACAACCACTTGCTGACCCACAGGATCTGTCTGCTCCTCCCCAAGCTTATCTCCTGCATCAACAGGCTTGAGAACATCGCCTGGGCCCTCATCACCAGAGACTTGTAGTCCTCTTGATACACAAAAGGCCTCCCCTGGAAGCGTTGCTGGTATCAACATGGATAAGCAGCAGGAGGTAGTAGTCCAAGGGCCAGAAAAGCCTCAGCAGTCTCTGCACAATCTCCCAGATCAGATCAGAGCCACTAGCCAGCAGAAAATCTCCATGGAGAGCAGGTCAGTTCGGCAGATGAGGGCCTCCATCCCCCACGGGACAGAGTCCCCCACAACTACCATTTGCTGCCTCTCCATGATGCTGCTGCATGTTTCGAGCTTTGCTTGTTTGGATGCCTCCCCAAACACGGCTTTCTCCTCCTTGTCTGTTACCAGAGCACTGAAGCTGTAGGTCTGAAGGTAGAGAAGAAGCCATCCTCCTATTGCCAGAAGTCACAAGCCTCCGCCTCCAGCCTTTGCCATCATAGGAGTCTCTTTCTGCCACCCACAACCTACCCCAGTTTCTGAGGCCTGCTCTTCTGTGCAGCTGATGTTCAAGCTCTTGTCTCTGAAAGTTTCTGTGAAGATGCTGTCCACCTCTTCCATCTTCCCTGATGTTGTACAGTCTTGTTCACCTCTTCCCACAGCTTAGTGACACAGCTCATCACCCAGAGCTCACCTACCACAGGCAAGCACATAGTCTCCCTCGCCCAAGCCCCAAGGAGAGGCACCAGGCACTGCCCGCAGGGCCAGATCTGCAGCGGCGCCCCATCCCTTGGGAGCTCTGTCTCCGCTGCGCTGCAGTAGTTGCTTCAGAGGTGCTGGTGACTGTGCTCTATGGCATACCACCACCACTGCTGCTAAGTCCCACACTGCCGTCAGCTGAGTCTCCAGCCTCTTGTCCCTTTGGTACAAACTACTACTTCTGAGGGCTGCCCTCTGGGATCGCCACTCTGGGCCTGGCAGTTACATAGCTCTCCTCCTCACATTAGTTAAATTTGACCCTTCCTTACCAGGGCCAGCCTTGCCCAGCAACAGCCGGGATCCAAAGACAGCAGAAGTAGCTCCCAGAAGAGCCAGAAGCAGAGTATAACCTGTGAACAGGAGCCTAAAAACCACCCTGGGCACTTGTATGTGCACTACTCCACCAATGGCCATATTTGTTGCTGGTTCATGTTTGCAGCCCTCTGGCTCACTGTGCTCCCTAGGGCCTGGGAAATGGACGCTATGGCCAGGCACTTGACCCTCCTGGGCAAAGCCTCCACCACCAGCAGGTCCCTTCTCCTGCAACTACGACCCTGCCCAAATGCCTCCTGAGCACCCTTTGCTTAGCCCACAAGCGCCATCACTGCTGTTACGCTCTTGCTGCAATAAAGCCCTTAGTTTCACAATGCAAACTGAATTTCAAGTAAGGCATTTCATTTACCATTTTTAAAATGTCTTTTTATATGAAATAACCACAGGTACTTACTATTGGATTGTATCTTGTAGATCTTTCTCACCTGATTAGATTCTCCTCAAGGAGAGATGCAAGGCGGTCTTTACACTACTAAAATAGTTCTAGCATAAATTTTTCTTTTCTAGGATGTGTGAGAACATTTTTCCCAAAATGTAGTTCACTACAGCAGTGTAATGTGTTAGAGTTTTAAGGATATCTCACGAAAGTCATAACATCCAAGTTTCAGGTTCTTTTAAAGAAGTGCCCCCACAGCTCTGGGTATCACAGGGAACAATCAGCCTTATGACCTGAATAAGAGACATTCATTTGGTAATATCTCTGAATGGTAAACTGTCTTGAAATGGTTCTTGCAAATGTAGTTCGGGCCCT